GAAAATGTATTACTAATCCTATTGAAAGTTAAAATTTCTTGTAATAAATGATTCTATAGATGATCTATGAATGATTAGTAATTGTTAATTGATGAGTATACAAGTATATTTTGAATAGATGATATGAGAATTTAAGATTATGAAAGGGGCACCAACAAGTTGGGAACTGGTTGACACACGGTATAAAATGGAAGATGCTCTTTTTTTTATGCCTTTCTATGTTTTGTGTTTGTTGTAAAAATAAAAAAATATTTAAAAAACAAAAAAGTTTGAGTATCACTCTGGGTGAAGCCTGACAGTCACACACAACATCAAAACCTGTTCCTTCTTCTTCCAGAATGCAGGACACAGAATAAAGAATGTACGTTACAAGAAGGCAGGTTCCAATTAATATTAGGAAAAGCTTCCTACCCGTAAGAGCAATTTGACTAAGGTAATTTAACCAGAGAGTTGATGAGCTTTCACTGGATCTGTTCAGCTAGGAGCTAGACAGTCATCTGTCTGAGATTCTTCACCTTGGATTCCTATCCTGAGTTAGAGTTCATATCCTAAATAGTCCTTTCAAACTGATTCTATTATTCTGTGAATCTAAGTCTGGTTCCAGCTCAATATTATTTGGTAATGCTGTTAAGCTGTACAAAGTCTTTCTGAAATTTCAAATATAGCTGTCTCATCACTACAGTTAGAAGATTTATTGTATGTACAATATTTTGCATGAAAAAACTCAGTCATGTTTATAAATAATGAAAAATTCCAGATACAGCACAGCATCAAATGTTAAAATTTGAAAAAATAGAGACAATAACTAGACTAACAGAAACAATTTCAACATTTTAGATGAATTAATCAATTGCATAACTTTCTAGATAAATCCTTATTTTGAAATTGAACAAAAAATACCAAATATTCCAGTCCTTCAATAAATACACAACGCATCTTCATTACAAATTGGAGTTAATTCATACAGTAATGTATAGGTTAAATGTACTTACACGAAGAAAGAAAGGAAATTTTCTTCCATAAAAGCCAACTCTGAAAAATTCAGGTTCCAACCTTTGCTGTTCCATTATATTATCATAATAGTTAGCTTCCATTTTCTAAAGATAGGAAAGAAAAATTATACTGGACCTGAAATAATGCTGTAGGAGAAAAATGTTGACAGCATGCTTGAAGTAACTCTATACCTTTATCTGACATCATTAACAGGTGGTTTTCAAAACATGTTAAGTATATTATCATGGAAGACATAAGAATTAAACCCATATATATTCAAGATAACTCTACAGAGAATTTAATTTTTGATAGGGAGGATTCTATGTATAAGTACTTTTAATACAAGCATACTTTTTACAGAATACAATTCTTTTTATACTGTGCTTTCTATATAAACTTCAGGTTACAAGAACTCAAAGAACAGTTAGTGACAGACAATTCTGGCGAAATTGAGTTCATCAGGTCATAAAGAGTCAGAAATAATTGAATGTCTGAACAACAACTTTTAGTATAAAGCACATAGGCTATTGATTTAAACAAGGGGTATGAAAAGTTCTCAGCTCTGATATTCACATGCAAATCCAAACTGATGCCTCACATATACTTGCATATAAACACATGTACAGATTTGGAAAGAAATGTTATTTTCATTCCTTTAATCTTCAGCAGGTTCTAAAAAGAGCGGCTTGCAGGCTAAACAGTGGTGATTAAGGATTAAAAATATCATTATTTTCAGTTATATAGTGTTAAATTCAATTCATTGTGATTTCCATTTGAATAACTATATAATAACAAGACTGAATGTCTGAATTCACTTTCTATGTTCATTTAAATATAATGTGGATTTCTGTCAAAAAATCTGAATGATAGGGTTAAAGAGATCTCAAATTTAGAAAAATGTAGAAGTCTAATTTGGATACCACATTCTAACATCAGTAAAGGAAAGAAGGGAGAAGAGGCATAGAACTTGGGATAACTTCTTGATTATACCATATTTAGAGTCCAGAAGTGAGTAACATTTGAATGTGTTTTCTTTTTTAGCGGCTGATTTTCTTTTTAATTAAAACATAACTATGGACCTAAAGCCTATCACAGGGCTTATGACACCATCAAAGAACTAGTTTGGAACATGCTAATAGAAGGACTGCTATGAGCAAAATTGTCAGCAAAGTTAATTTTCTTTTTTCCATTTTAAATTAATTTGAAATAGTTTTGACTCTTTAAGGTAGAGAATGAAGGTTTTTATGGACTCAGCCTTTATTTAGTGATATAGAAAAAAAGCATTAGACTTTATTTTATTTTGGTTTAGATCTCTTAAGAGAAATTTCACACATGGCAGCCCAGGATTTAATCCCTAGCAAATGAAGCCATCCTAATATACCCAGTAAAAGTGTTTTTATTTACTTGCTAAAGGCAGTACAGGTAGTCCTCAAGTTATGATGCCAATTGGGATCGGAATTTCTGTCACTAAGTGATGCAGTTGTAAAGCATGACATCATGTCACTGCATCGCTTAGGGATGGCAATCCCTGCAGTCCCTGTTGCCGTTGTTAAGTGAGGATTGTGGGTCGTTAAGCAAGCACCTCCTCGCAACTTCCTGCTGGCTTCCAACAACCAAAGTCAGTGGGGAAGTCACCAGGAAGTTGCAAGTCCCAGGTGGCTTGCAAGCCAGCCAGCAGGCAGGTTAAGTGGTTGCTGCCAGGTGGGGGACAGTGCACAAATGGCTGGGGAGGGTTTGCAAATGGCCAGGGAGGGCGCAGGTGGTGATGGAGGCATGGCATGAGCAGGTAGGCCTTGGAGGAACTGGTGCCAGATGGGAAAGAGTGTGCGAGTGGCTGGGGAGCATGTGTGAGGGTGCATGAGTGGCGGGGAGGGTGGCTGGGTGGCTGGCGAGGTGCAGCATGAGCAGAGAGGGGCTGGGGGAGGGTGAGTGGGTGGAGAAGACTCATCCAAGCAACTTGCAACCTTCCCTTCTGGCTTCCCCGTTGACTCTGCTTGTGGGAAGCCGGCAGGGAAGGTTGCAAATTGTGATCACATGACCGCAGGATGCTGCAACCATTGTAAGTACAAACTCGTTGCCAAGCACCCAGATCGCAATCACACAATTGGGATGGCTTGTTCAGCGCTGTCATAACTTTGAACAGTCGCTGAATGAGCAGTTGTTAACCAAGGACTACATGTATACTTCCAATTGGAAAAAAATTGTGATAGCATTTGTCCTATAGGAAATGCCAATTAAAAAGTTGAACGTCACCTACCCGAATCCAGCTGAGACTTTGATAATCATATAATGTTTCATATTGAGTAGCCAGCTCTCTGCACAATGGGATTCCAAATTCCCAGCTCTGAAAAGAAAGATTAAAAACTGAGATGAAATAGGACTTTTGTACATGCAAAATAAGTAATTAAAGTAAGTAAGCCTTAGCAGTGTATTCCTATGATAACCTTAAGAATGATGACAAGAAAAATAAGTGGCAATTTTAACAATTCTTAATGAGCTCTTTTAGTAGTTGTTAGCCAAGCAGTGGTGTAGGCTCCGGGTTTTCTCTGCTCTGGCCAACAGAAAACAGTTTTTTCAATAAAGATTAACTGAACTGGACAAAAGGTACCGTCCCAAACTAAAAACTGTTATCAAAGCAACAGCTAACTCTGAATAACAGCCGATACTAAAATGTAGGATAGGTTCAAGAGAACAGTTCTGCAAGGAAGTATAGGAAAGAATTCACAGATGAATCTGAGGTCTATATTCCCACTTCTTGTTGCATGTAATTCTTCACTCAAACAAACCCCACTCTTGGGAAGAAAGAATACAGAATGGTTTATTCCTTGCCTTTCTTCCTCTCTTTATATATAAATGTGTGTGTATGTGTGTGTGTACACATCCTTACACAATGACTCCAACTTAGACTGTGATGGGATATGTTTCTTATTTTTAGGAGAGAATAGATGTTTTCCTGACTGAATTAATGTATCTTGAAGCTTCCTTAAATGGGGGAATGTGAAGAATTGAGCACTATTTTCCTAGCAGAGTTAAAAAAAATTCTGGGGTCTGTTTAGCAGAAATGCAGAACTTATATTTATTTAATAGTTCTGTACAAATAATTGAAAGAGTTTTCTTTGAAAGTTGGGAGTGTTTACATAGCACTTCTCTTTGCATCATTAAAACAGTTGCATCTTTTTGCAGGCTTGCATGACTACTTCATAAACTATTCCTAACTGTCTACATGTGTGCTTTGCTGGGGAAAAAAATTATTGTAGTTGTGCATGTGCATGTATGTGTGGGCCTGGAAAATGGTTTGGCTGCATTGATTACTCAAGGAGAAGCACACACTATAAAACATTTCTTTGAAACAATTCATACAACCTGATTAGCACAGCCTTTGGAATGTAAAAAAGTAATATAGTTGAGAAATTCTGGTGAAAATGAAACCCAGCCCTGTAAGTTCTTGTGTAACACACTTCTACTGAAAACAGCATTAGCAGAAGCGTATTTATCTTGTGGTGCCTAGTAAATGTATGGGCAGATTTCTTACAAATCTTGTAAAGCTCATCCACACATCCCACTTGCCATGGCACGAAAAACACTGTGCTAACCATTTTTAAGGGACACGATTTTCCCTCTGCCTAAATCCACTGCTGAGGCAGCCTGCATTTGGCTTTAGGCACCCCACCATGGAAGTGGTGCTCTCCCCACTATCCCAGCACAAGTCTTTCCATACAAACAATATACAGTACATGCCTCAGTGACATGAGCTCCTATTGGATGCCTAAGTCTGCTGCAGGTACATCGTCTCCCCCGTCGGGTGGCTGAGCACTGGGACTCTATTGCCCTTTTGTTTTGGCTATAAAAGAGACTAGACTCCCGGCTTCTACACCTCTTTTTCCTTTTCTTTTGGAATGAGAATATTGACCCCCCTGGGGGATCAGTACATTGCTTCCACTTGTTCATCAGTTTTCAGTTCTCATCCCAAGGAATGTCAACCTCAGGGAATATCGATCTCATGAAATTGTAACATGTCTGAATTGACTTCTCTACAGGAACATCATAATATTAATATTTCTGGGGAAAATTGAACAAAAAGGGAAAATAAATATGCTCCTAGGTAGTAGGATGCATTAGGGCAGATCCAGAAAGTACTTTTCCACAGCTCACAAATATGCGATCCATTTATTCCCCATAGCGGGGTGGGGATAGAGAGTGAGCTGTAGTTGTATGTGTGTGTTTTTTTTAACAGATTGATTCCCCAAAATGGCAAAAAAAAAGAAAGAAAAAGGAAAAAAAAGAAGGGGAAAAAAGAAAATGAGAAAAAGAAAAGAGAAAGAGAAAGAGAAAGAGAAAGAGAGAAACCTCTGGTGACTAGCCAGTAGGGTACATGTAGGATACAGGCACTCCTTGACTTATGACAGCAATTGGGACTAGAATTTCTGTTGCTAAGTGATGTGGTTGTAAAGCACGACAGAATTGCTTAGCATTGGCAATTCCTGCAGTCCCAGTTGCTGTTGTTAACTGACATGGATTGTGGTCATTAGCTGAGGCATCTTCCAGCAACCAAAGTCAGTGGGGAAGCCAGAAGGAAGTTGCAAGTCCCAGGCCCGCAGGCAGGTAAGTGGCCACTGCCGGGGAGGGGAGAGAGTGAGGGGGTACACAAGGGGGTGCATGAGGGTGTGAGGGAGGGTGAGGGTGCAAGGATGTGTGTGAGAGGCATTGCGTGGGTTGGGGAAGGTGTGTGAGGGGGTGCATGAGAGGTGCCATGTTCATCAGGGAGGGTGAGTGAGAGGCGCTGCGCAGGTCAGGAAGCATGCAAGGGGGAGCACAAGAGGTGTGGCATGGGTTGGGGAGGTGTGTGAGGGGATGTGCAAGAGGCACCATGCAGGTCAGGGAGGGTGTGAGGGGGTGCTCAAACACCACACCAGTTGAGGAAGGTGTGCTGGGGTGCGACGGAGGCATGGGGAGGGTGGGCAGGGGTGCAAGGGAGGCATGGCAAGGGTTGGGGAGGGTGCATGGGGGTGTGTGAGTGGCCAGTGGAGTGTGAGCGCAGAGGGGCTAGAGAAGAGTGTGAGGGTGGGGGAGACTTACCCCAGGGGCTTGTGACCTTCCCTGCTGGCTTCCCCATTGACTTTCTGGGGAAGCCAGCAGGGAAGGTTGCAAATGGTGATCATACAATTATGGGGCACTTGGCAACTGGATGTAAGTACAAATGGGTTGCCAAGCACCCAGATCGCAATCACATGACTGGGGGTCCTGTGACAGCTGGGACTCCGAGGACCAGTTGTAACCACCATTCGTTCAGCACTGTTGTAAGCTGGAACGGTCGCTACCGAATGATTGTAGGTCGAGGACTACCTGTATAAGATTAAGCTATAAGGAGGAACCAGAGTCCCTCAATCCAACCCTGCTACATAATAGAAAGCAACTGGCAATTGCTGGTAGGTGACACTGACTAGAAGAGAAAACTGGGGAAGCCACCAATTGCTACCTTGAAACTATTCTGCTTTACATCTTGTAAGCACAGCAGCACTGCCCAGTTGTGTTACCAAAGAACAGTAAAGCTCAGTGGTGGAATACTGTAATTTATGTTGTCATACTTTTCTGATGATTCACAACAATGCAGTTATGAGGAACCCCTTATCTGTGCAAATGGAAGGAGCAGGCACATTGGGAATAGTGACCACATAATGTTGATTTTTTTTTCTTTAAAGGGGATAGATCGTCACAGAGAAAATCTATCTGTGTGGTTGCTATAAGTCAAAAACGTCTTGATGGCACACAATCAACTAATCAATTAAAAAGCTGATATAACTGAACATGGGCTTCAAATGATATACAGGTATTTCATAATAGGAAAAGCTAATGAGGAAAGGAGCGCAAGAAGGATGGGAGTTCCTAAAAATGGAGATATTTAAAACAAAGTTGCAAAGAATTATATAACTTAAAAAAAGGAAGACAGCAAAAGTAGCTAATGTGGTAAAGGTCTGATGAAGATCTGAAAATTATAAAATATAAGAGATGGGGAAAGGGATAAATGATCAAGAAAGGGTATGTTTAAATGGCCTGGAATTGTACAGATGATGTCAGAACAGCAAAGGCTCGAAGTGAGCTGAGGTTCACAAAAGTTGCTAAAAACAACCACAACAATTTGTCAGATACATTTAAAATAAATATACTTTGATATTTTTAAATTAGTAACTTGGATTGACTAATTATCGAGAGATTATCAAATCTGCAGTTAACACAAAATTGGGTAAGTTAGATAGAAATAAAGATAGAAGATAGAAATAACATTCAAAACTATCTTAATATATTAGAAAAATGGGTTGAGAATAACAGAATTTTTTAAAATTTATTTTTATTAGACATTGAAAATGTATAAACATGCAAAGAAAAAGAACAAAAAAGGGATAAAAAAGTAAAATAAAAATGTGTAAGCAAGAGATTTGTAAATGTCACAGAGGTTAACATTTTCCAGTATATCATTAGTTGACTGTGAAGAAATTTAAAAGACAAAGTTCTTCACTTATGAAACAGAAATCAAATGTTCAGATACTGAACATGGATTTAACAATAATACTTTGAAAAAATATATTGGAACTGCAGCTGATTATAAACAATATCATTCAGTTCACTGTACTGTTGCTGCATAAAATGACAGCACTCTTTAAGCACATTAAAGGAAGTTATGTAGAAAAAGATCAAAACTTGTTCTCCAAGACTGCAGGGAGTGGAATAATGACTTTAAGTTATAGACAGATTCTAATTCAATATTACAACAAGTTTCCTAAACAGTAAGAGAAGTTTGACAATTAGAACTAATTACTCAGCAAGTCGATTGGCTTCCCTTCAGTGGATATATTTATACAGAGACTAAGCAATTAATTGTCAAGAATGCTTAAATTGGAAACCTCTATCAGGGGACTAGACTTGAAAGCCTAAATGGCTACCTCCTACACTGTATTTCTATGAACTTGTGATTCTCCTGACAAGTAAATGAATCCGAGTACCTGCCAGGAATTTTGCAAAAACATTTAGTTCTGGCTTTAGCCAACAATATCCAACAAAATTTGAAAACAATTACTAATAATCTTTGCTTACCTTGCCTTTATTAAAATAGTGGATAATTTTCCGACAAAGATTTTCTTTACGTTGCCACTCTGTCTGAGATGGATAGTGGAGGAATTCCCGAAGAGGCCTATCCTCCCATTGCAGTAGCTCGCAATACAAAAGCAATGTAAAAGCAGCCTCTGTCAAAACAACAAGCAATATACACAAAAATATCAAAACATTTCAACTGGTATAGTTAAATGTGCAAATAGACAGAGAAACTAAAATGATGATGCTAGGTAGATCAGAGGCAGAGTAGCACGCAAGCCTTGCAGGAGTATCAACATAGTCCTACTTTTTCTATCTTTTGCTAAACCAAAGGCAGTTTCTGTCCCCAAATTAATCCTGAAGCCCTACATAATCAATTTCATACAATAGCAACTGACTGTCCAGCAACTACTCTTTGAATGAACTTGCCCAGAAAGATGAAGTTAGTGTTTGACCTGAAGGAACTGTCCAGGTCTAGCTAAGTTTTTCTCAAACTAATGAAGTATATCTATATGTATGTATTTAACTTGGTATTATACTAACTACCAAAGTCTCTTGATGATTTATAATAAAATAATATGACTTCTTTTGAAGAATCTGAAACAGTTATCTGTCTCACTAGGGCACTTACAACCAAAATAGGATATGCCAGGAAAATAAATAAATTGAACTGATAAGTAAATTCAATCAAGCATTCCATATCAGCAGACTCTAAACCTTGAGACTCATGCAATAAAACTGGACTTGACTGCTCTCTGGACAATTCTTCTAATGATTGCATTAATCATAATGTCCAAATCATGACAGATATTGGCAATTTTCATCTTAAAGCATCTTTTAACAAAAGAATATTTTAAAAATCAAATAAATGTTATTTATTTATTTATTTATTTATATACCAAATTTATATGGCCATCCCTCTCACAAAAAGTGACTCTGGGCAGCGTACAACAGAGTTATAAAACAAACTTATAAAGCAGTCATCATTAAAAAAATTTAAAAATCATTAGGCATAAAAAAGAATAGATCTTAACAATAATGGAGCCACCTCAAGATCTCACCAGTCCCCTGGGACTCCCAGGCCTGATGACATAAACAGGTCTTCAGGGACTTCTGGAAAATCAACAGGGATGGAGTTAACCTCACTTTGGGGGGGGGGGAAGAATATTCCATAAGGCGGACGCCACAGCAGAGAAGGCCTGCCTCCTGGGACTTGCCCAGTGTAGTTCCCTAACAGACAGGACACGTAGCATGCCTCTTCTGCCAGATTTGATGGGATGGGTGGATATAATCAGGGAGAGGCCCTAACCCAGCCCTATGCCATGAAGGGCTTTAAGGGTCAAAAACAGCACCTTGAATTGGACCCAGAAGCAATGTAGCTTGAGAATCAGGTGTAACACATGCTGTTTTAAAGGCACACATAACTGCCGGTGCTGCTGCATTCTACACCAGCTGAAGCTTCCAGATACTCTTCAAGGGCAGCCTCATGTAGAGCGCATTACAGTAATCCAGTCGGGAGGTGACTAGGACGTGAGTGACTAGTGAGCAGAGCCGCCCGATCTAGGAACGGGTGCAACTGGCACACAACATGAAGCTGTGCAAAGGCCCTCTTAGCCACAACTGCCACCTGCTGTTCGAGCAGAAGTCATGAGTCCAGGAGGACCCCCAGATTGTGCACCAGGTCTGTCTGGGGCAGATGGCATAGTCCTAGAACTGGCAGGCCCCAAAACTAAAAGCCACTCAGTCTTGCCAGGGTTCAGCTGAAGTCTGTTGTTCCCCATCCAGACCCTTACAGCCTCCAGGCACTGGCATAAGACATTCACAGCATCACTTAATTCGCCAGGGCCAGAGATGAATAATTGGGTATCATCAGCATATTGATGATACCTCACCCCATGGCAATGGATGAGCTCACCCAGTAGCCTCACGCAGATGTTGAATAGGAGTGGAGAGAGCACCAAATCCTGCAGCTCCCCACAAAGTAGGGGCCAAGGGTGGAATCTCTCCTCCTCAATCACTGACTGGAATCAACCCTGGAGAAAGGAGGCAACCCAGCACAACATAGTGCCACCCACCCCCAATCCTCTAAGCCAATCCAGGATACCATGGTTGATGATATCGGAAGTGGCAGTGAGGTCAAGTAGGGCAAGGATAGATGCACAGCCTTCATCCTGCCCTCGCCAGAGATTCAAAAGCATGACCAATGCTGTTTCCATCCCATATCCAGGTCTGAATCCCGACTAAAAGGGATCCATATAATCTGCAAAAATTGTCTAGTATAGTGGGGCCCAGCAATGGCTTTTTAAAAAAAATTTATTAAAGATTACAGTTAAAAAGGATAAAAACTGTACACACTACAAAAATATAAAAAGGGGGGAAGTTACTTCTTTTTCCTTCTTTCTTTTTCATTTTGTGTATATATATATATATATATATATAGAGAGAGAGAGAGAGAGAGAGAGAGAGAGAGAGAGAGAGAGAG